AAACTGCAGCATGTGTTTGACAACTGTCGATGCACAGAACCGGCCATTCTGATTCATTAAATCTATATTATATACAAGAAGATGCGCTGTCTCGAGGATGTCACATCGTGGACCATCAACAAGAACTGGCTGTTTAGCAAGTCAGCTCGAAGAACGGGTTGTTGTTCTGGAGGGGCGTGATAGCGAAAGACAAATCAGTCTGGGCAGCATTGGCATCCTTCAAGGTGTACCAGAACGTGGTGCGGCTGCCAAAGAGCGAGCAGCCAACTTCATCCCAGTAACGCTTGGAGTTCTCAAGGGAGGCAACAGCGGAGCCAGAGTTAGGGCCAACTATACTTGCGTTAGTGTGATAGTCTTGGAGACGATTAAGGCAAAACTTACTTCGTGGCCATCCGGTCTCGGTAACCCAAACTTCCTTTCCATCAGATACGCTCTCAGTCTGACCAAGACCCGCAAAGAAGTTCTCACGTGCCAGGTCGATCGAGTTTGGCCTCGTGGTCTCGAAGTATGGGAATGAGTTGTGTCCAAGCCAGTTCACGGCGCGCGCAACACCGCGGTTCTCGGGCAGAACCCACGCAGTGAATGTGTCGACATGGCCGATAGGCTTGCCCTCGAGCGCGGTGCCACGGATCCAGTCGCGCATCCAACCGATGTAACCCTCGATCTCAGCACCAGTAGCACCAGCGCCGGCGTTGTTCTGTACACCTTGCGGGCTGCTGCGGTACAAGTCCTCAGATCCTACGCTGATGCCGATGATCTTGTCTGTGAAAGCGGTTCCAAGATCCCTGGCGCCACGAATCAAGGCGTTGAGTTCGTTCTCGTATGCCGCACGTCCGGCACTGGCCCAGAGACCGACGAGGAGTTGGGTGTCGGTGTCGATGGCTGCTTGGAAGGCAGAGATGGGATCGGCAGCGGTACCGCATTGAACCGAAGTATAAAGACGTGCTGTGTTGAAGCCCGAAGCGCCAGACAGGCTCTTTGCCTCATTGAAGAAGCGAACGAAGTCGTTGTAGCCGCGGCATGATCCATCTGCGTTGGTGGCACCGTAGTTGAAGCCTTTGCTCTGAGCGACGGCGGTGGTCGCAAGGGCGAGGATAGACGCAGCTTTGGCCCACATGTTGAGAATTAAGAATAGTGTATTAAGTCTAGTAAAACGAAGGGATACAGATGTAGAAGCCAGGAATGGAGCAACCTTTTATTCCTCTGCAGAGCTGAAGTTTAAAATAGAACGTTCGCCCCTGCGCATCATCGCTGGCTGCATGCCAATCCAGATGACGTGGATGAGGCTCGTACTTTTCTTTGCCAAGCGTTGTTGAATGGCGATCTGCCGAGCGCCATGCTGGGCGAAAAGCCCTTTCAAGAAGTCTCCCTGTAGACGGTTGCGTGAGGCCTCATAAGCAAACAAATGACTGTGTGCGACGCAAGCTGCTGTGCGTTTGCGCCAGAGAAAATGGGCAAACCTGGAGAAAGTCGCCAGGACGACAGCTAGTTCTCGTGACGATGCAGCCCTCGGAGGCGACCGTCGACATGTGCCATGCGCATTAGCACGAATACGATCGATATCCCGAACAGCCGAATCGCATTTGCGCTGGTCTCGAACGCGCGGTGTGGTGAGGATGCGGTCAAGTCGCAGCTGCCCAGACGGAAGATGTGGGGTAGGGAATCATAGCAGCGCGAGGGTGCGGACCAAATTGCATTGCGCACAATTTCCCGCCGGGACAGCCTCGCTGCCCTTCGCCCTTCGCCCTTCGACATTCGACATTCTTTACTAGTCGTGGTATCAACGAAACATCGCTGTGCGACGAAGTTTGCCAATTGTCATTCACGCAGTCTCGGAATATAGGCTGCGAGACAGAACTTGGATCATACCAAGGTACGCGCAGGAACGCTGAACTGAGGCGGTGCGGTGGCTCACCGGTTGTCTAGCGAGGCACGGACATTACTGAGCCTAAGCATTCGCGCACGGTGCGACAGATGTCGTGCTGCTGGTCTAGAGCCTTCCTTTCTTTTTAAGCGATTATGAGCAAGAGATGACCATCTTATCGTCTTCCACCGGTGACAAACGTTGGCGGTAACTACCTTAGTATGTGATGGGACGTAGCACTGATCGCGCTGGCGCCACCTGTCTATCGGAACTACCTAGGTACGGAGACGATGATGACTGCGATAACGAAACCCATAATACTCTATACGGGAAAGATGGAATAAATACATGATGGAATGAACGTGCCAACACCAACAGGCCCTGTCGTATTTGTGCGACGTTGCGGTCCTTTTCCCATGACATGCACCTGGCATATACATTTGCTCGACATGTGTTTCCTCCCGTACTCGTCATGAAAGCCTGGAACAAAAACACGACCAGTCATCAACATGACGTGTGTAGTGTGCCGACCTGCAATCGACGTTTCAAATCTGTATATGCTGGGTGGCGAGATTTGCGGGAGAGTGCAGTGTGCTACTTAACAAACTGGCAGCCAATTCGCCGGGGCAGTACCGGGAGGGTGTATACAACCGGAGGGTCTACTTATGCTCACAAACCACGTCATCTACTCCTCACTTGTAAATTCATGAAGTTTTTGAAACCTTTCGTAGCTACGCCTAGGGTATAGCATGAGCTCGTTGCGCAACCTCGCGTCTAGCTTGCTTTGAAAAGCGGATCGTGCTAATCAAATGATACAGAAATAACGCAAGCCAAACGAAGAACAACATAATTACAGCTCCGCCCACCATTGCTACTGCGCTTATTGCAATGCCAAAAGCCACTCTTTGGAACCTCAAGTTGTGTTGCATCCAAGTCCCGAGCGCTACCTGCAACGCTGATAGTATGACACTCACGTAGACAAAGGCTATGAGCAGCCACGCAAAGTTCTTCTGAAAGAAAGCCTTGTACCAACTCGAATGGGACATGAACCCGTATACGAAATTATGTGCCGAAAAGATTGATGGTAGGAACATGTACAATGTGTTTAGTCGCGACAACCGGAGCTCACCATAGCGATAGCGCTCCGGAACTTGATGGGAGAGCGAAGTCTTTACGCAGTCCGATACCTCATGAACAAATTTGATCCACATGGGCCATTCGACATTCTTTGGGAGTAAAAGCGTTTCTTTGGCGATTTGGAGATCACTCGGGAACTGGATAAGCCACGAGTAAGAAACCAATAGACCGACTGCATAGTTGTACATGGCGGGGTGCTGGCAAAGATGCGTTTTCCAGAACTGGTAATCGAAGAGGTAGACTGGCAAAGGCTTTATGAATATTCTAGTCTCGTGCCAAACGAGATGTTCGTCAGCACACTCGGTTATCTCGATGTCGCGGCCCATGAGCCGTTGGCGGTGAAGGCATCGCGCCGGCTTAGGAAGACCAGCCAGCCAGAGGTGATCGAGTACTTTGTCGAGCTTCGGAGTTCTGAGCTCATAGTCAAGGAAGCGCATTCTTGTGTGTATCGTGCTCTCGTCCCGAGGACCGGCTGTCAATATCTTTCCACATCCTTCTGTCATCGGTGGGAACTTTTCATTGGTAAGTGCAAATTCCGGTTCAGCGCAGTGAAAAACGTACCAACTCTCGCTTGGGATGAGAGGAAGACTGCGCCATCCCAACGACAGCTCACAGGCTTTCACTATGTGAATCTAGCTGTTCAGGGGAACCGTGTAGAACCAGGATATTGTAATCGTAGCAACTCGCGAACAGCTAGATTGCAAAATTCAACCTCTTAGCACGCACAATGTAGACGACCTAAAGCTTGAATGAAAATAGCAGATGGAGCTTATAAATGTTCGCGCGTATGACTTTGTTTAACGCTAGTGATTACTCAGATTTAGTCTTGAATTGTTACAGTTGTCAGTTACGCATTACCTCGGTGTCTAAGATACAAGGTAAATAGAAGTGATAGCTGCGTCATCCCATCGTATGACTGGTCACACTTTTGCTGTGTACGTAAGTACAAGCCAGGCTGTATCGTACACCCGTAGCATCGAACGGTGTTGAACTAGTCTTCATGCATCCATGACGAAATTATCATTCTAGCCTCACCGGTTTACCACCCGTGGACATTCCGCGGACGCATCTCGCAGGTTCGCCTCCCTACAGCAGTGTCATATCTTTGCTGCTCCGTGCCGGCTGAGATGGAGTTGCTGACCGGTACAGCTACATTGCCAACGCATGCGTGTTGCAGAACGTTCATTGGGTCAGGCTGACCAGAGAGGTAACCGAGCTGCACACTTGCCCAGAAACGGATGTCGCATATTCATGTTGCATAGTAGGCGGATTGCGGGGTAACACTGAAGGCTTCCTTATCTCTTGCAAATCGCCGGATCTCATCTAGAGGCATGCACGTTCGCTTGGTGTGATTGACCGGTACCCCTCATTACACTCAACTTTCGAGATAGGGTGACACAGTTATAAGAGGGTTGAGAAACATAAGTACAGTCTTATCCCCGCAGTTCGCCAGTCTCTATTAAATCGCATAATATTACTAGCACAAGACCTACCATCTAGTCACTCTGCAACGACATCTGATCAATCACTCGGTTTTCTCAACGACAATCATGCCTGAACAAGATGCGACTGGTCGTGATGGCAGCGGCCCCGATATCAATATTCAGGCCGAGGAGACGGCAAAGGCTGGAATGGGCGAAAAGGTCCGCGGGGGAGATGGGTAAGATTGCGGAAGGCTGTGGAAGCAGACCACATAGTCCAGACCATAGCGCTAATATGCACCAGCCCCAAGCGAGATACTGAGGGAAAGTAATGGCGATGCGCATTGCTGTTCTAGGTAGACGCAACCAGATCAGGCGCTTCAGTGGTGTCTTATGCAGGATCTATGACATGACACGGTACAAGATATTTACACTCATTTCCTAGTCAAATTAGCCAATATGATATCAGGCCGTATGTCAACTGCGATACTCTCCAGAATCGGTGAGAAGATGTCGTATTGTGAGGATGTGACTGATCTAGTCTTCGTAGAACAAGATCAGATCAATTTATTGAGCTCTCATGCCTTTTCATCGTGTTCCTCTGCAGAGAGTTCAGTGACACGCAGGGATGCCAGTAATTTGTCAAAAGCCTCGATCGTTGATAGATCTGCGCCCCTCGACTTTCGACGATGATCAAAGATCTGTTCAGCGGTGTACCCATCCTTGTCTGGTGAGTTGAAGTCGCACTTCACGCCGTGATCTCGGAGAAGGTTCAGTACGGAAGATGTGGCAGTGCTTGCAGCAAGGTGCAGCCAGGTCTGTCTCCGTTCTGTCTGCCACATTGTGTCGCAAGGGTGCTGCAGGAGAACATCAAGAATCTCCTCGTTATCACTCAAGATAGCAAAAGCCATAGCCGGTGATCCAACGTGATCTGCCAAGTCGATGTTGGCGCGTTTGTCCAGCAAATATCTGACGGTTTTTGGACGATTCTTTTGAACTGCAAACATCAAGGGTGTGTATCCTTCATAATCTTGAGCATCGATCGAAGCGAGTGAGGACAGCAGAAGGCTCATGCGTCGTTCAGGATCGTCGTATCGCATGGCAGCGATATGTAAACTTGTCTCCCCGTATACGGATCTCGAATTAGGATCTGCAGAGTATTCCAGAAGAAGCTTGATGCACGAAGGATCTTTTGCGGTAACAGCCCAATGCAGCGCATCGGCTCCCGGTTGCTTTAGCACGACGCTAGCGTTGCACATGAGCAAAGTCGCAGACATGGCTTGATCGCCACGTGCCGTGGCGTAGGATAGCGCCGACCTTCCACTTGCATCAGGCGCATCAACGTCCGTCTCTTTTATTTGGGTTTCGATAGAGATCCCAAGCTCTAATCCAAGAGCAATGCGATGGAGGGGCGTAAACCTTCGCTTTTCGATCTGATCATCCCGACTTTCGGTGCCTAGCAAATTTGCACATTCATTCCTGGTCTCCGGGTCGTAAACTTCACCCCAGATCCTGTTCCAAGCGATTTCTGATGGAGAACTGGATTATCTCAGCGAAAAGTTCAATGTAATGAGGTTAAGGGACGTTTCACGTACGTGCCGTTCAGATTTTCGGCGTACTTGTCCATTTTGTGATGCTCAATCAAGTACTTCGCTACTTTGTGCTGGTCGTAACTAAGCGCATACTACAACAGTCAGAAACAATAGTCGCAGATTAGGTCGATGACTGTGAACAAATGAGGCATCGTACATGAAGCGCTGTCCAGCCGTAGTCATATGACACATCTGTTGGCCATGTTCTTTTCTGCCTGAAGAGGCTCTGCACTCCTTCCAGATTACCGTTCATACAGAACTTGAAGATGTCGGAAGAGTCTGGGATAACGTTTGGAAAGAAGAGACTGATTCCGGGCTTGCTTTGCTGGCAGATGGTGAAGTAAATCTTTCGAGCCAGCAACCACTGGGGAAAGTAATATTGCGACTCAACAGTAGCTGGTATTAATCTTCGGCAGTCTCTAAAACTGCACGTCAGACACCTGTTCGTGTAGTTGATTTGCATTGCCATGTAGCCGAGATAATGCTTTAGGAGCTTTGGAAATCGAATGTTGCGCTGTTTGTGGCACTGGCACCTGCAGGATCGAGGGACGTTGTCTCGATTTGCTTCTGCGTTCGTTTCCGATCGGATTGGCGGGTATGTTCCGTGCCTGAATTCACGCTCAGTCAGGTCTGTGAAAGGAGCTCCCACGAAAATACCATTATACCCATTCGAGGAAATCTTCGACGCTAGCTTCGGAAGTCTGTTGGAGACGTGAGGTATGTTTTTCTCTAGCAGGACCTCCAATTTCGAGATGACGAAGTTCAAGTGTCGGTTCTTAGGGGCAAACTTCACAAGCTCCGAATGTGAAACTCCAATCATTGGGAAATTATGGGCCTCTCCCCGCTCCCAATCTCTTCCCGAGACTGCCGATGTTGGACGCAAGAACAGTATGGGCTCCGCAGATCTCCTGTTCTCTCCATCGACCTAACAGATAAGTTAGTAGTGAGAGAGTCTTTTTCACGCGCTTTCACTTACACGCTCAAACGTATAGCTGGCATCCGTCTCGTACCAAGAAAATATCGTGGCCGCACGGTCATTGAATGCACTATTGAATGTCTTGCAAAGCTGTTCGAGATGAGCCGAGTCAACATCAAGCATCCTTATCAGCTTTTCGTTGGCGCGTGCATCCACAACCTTGAGCCATCGCGAGATGTTCATTCCTTCGTTGGGTACGCCGAAGGAAAGGATGCCTGCAGTCGCATACATGAGTAAACGCTCCTCTTTGTTGTTCGAACGAGACATGTTAACTATTGCTTGTTTGAGCAAAAGTCCTCCCATGCTATGGACAATGAATATCATCGGTTTTGGTAGGCGGCCTCCCTGCGGCGGTCAAGTCAGTTTCGATCGGTCCAACAACTACCTAGGTACAATTGCACGAACCTTTTGTTCACCTCGTTTCAATTCGTTCAGGAGGGTTAGGAACTCTCTGGCAATATCGTTGAGGCTCTCATGACTGCGGCTTTCGAACAATGCCGTTGCGTAACCATAGACATAGATCCCCATGCCTTTGAACGCGGGTAGCGTCGGAACATGATCACGAAGCCACATCCAGTCCAAGCCCTTGTGTTTGAAAGACCCGAAGGCATGGCCTGCCAGACCTGTAATTGCTATGCAGCTGCTCTGAGTCAGCATTTTGCGATGCATAGAAACGTTTGACTTACTCTGCTATATGCTCAGCTTCGACGGGTGAGTAAAGCGGGGTGAACCCAAGAAATCTCTTGTCGATCACGATCATTCCAGGACCATCATCAATGAAAAAGTACCAATCGTCGTCAGCTTCAGCGGCTTTTTTGGGTGGCATCGCTGTTTTGTCCGTGAAGTGAAAGGTCGCCACTTGATCGGTGGTCCCGTCATTGTCATCTGCTGCTAACGAGCCAATGCGAACAGAATGAGAACCCAACGTTTTGTTCAGAAGTTCGGTCGCTCCGGCTTTATCGAGCGCTTCGGGAATTCCCTTGGCTCGATAAGTGATGTTTGTGGGTTCCATTGATCCACGACAGTGCGCACCACGTTGTAGTTGCTAGTGAGAGGAGGGTTGGACTCTGTCGCACGGCTTTCCACTGATTTGACTTGGGGACACAAGCCCAACATAACTTCGAGCGATTGGATGAGCTGGGCTTATCTCCCGCAGCTGACCTCACCTCGAAACATCCGCTAGTCGCTGTTAGTCACCGGTGATGACAACGCAGGAGCCCATGCATGTGCTATGCATCTGTCGTCCGATAGGATGTTACAACGCCACACGGCTAAAGAGCCTCTACTACGCGGAGTAACGTAACACAAGACAGTAGCGCTAAGCAAGCTGTAGCGCGCTGTAAAGATAAGTATATTTCTATAGATTAATAAATTCCTTCTTCTTCTATAGTAAATTCTTTTCTTATATATTTTAAAGTAGTATTTATGTATTATAAAGAATATAATAAAAATAAGTAATACATTATTTATAGTACTAGCTATTATTTATAAAGTATATTACTAAGTTAAAATAAAATCTTAAGTAGTAATACTAATAGCTTAAAAATAGTACTAATTTTAAAAAGGTAATAACTATTACTTATACTCTAGATAAAATATAACTAAAATTTATATTTACCTTTTAGAGATATAGTATGGTATTAATTAAGCTAAAGCTTAAAGCTTTAGTACTACTACTTTTAAAATAGTAAAAGCTTTTAAATTTATTAAGCTAGCTAAGAAGCTATTCTAATATAAACTATACTAAAAAAGAATTATAATATAATTATATATACTTATTAGCTTATAACTACTAAAGTAATATATTTAAAAGCTTTTTAGTTAGAATGTTATATACTAAAATATTAGTAAAAGTGTACTTTTTTTATATATTATACTTATATAATTACAATATTTAGAACTTTAAAGATTTAAACTTTAAGTTATTTGTATCTAATACTAAATACTATATTATAATATTAGGTTTTCTAAATATATTATAAGTCTTTTTATAAAGTATTTACTTAAATATATTATTAGATTAATCTTATATTCTAGTATATTAAGATTAATATTATTATAATATTTATACTTATTATTATAGATTAGTGTGTTAAAAGATTAATATAAGAACAACTCTAGAAGATATTAAAAATAAAGATAGTTAAAAAGAAAGAAAGCTAGATATAAACTTTTTTACTTTTTAACTATAAGTAAGAGTCTAGTATATATACGTGTATAAGATATTTCTTTCTAAATATTTTCTTTAAGACTCTTTTAGCAACTTAAAATACTTATTATATATTAAATTTAGAGTTATAAACAGCTATATATTACTACTTTATAGCTATAGTTAAGATATAGCTTTAAATACTCTAAGTTTTTAAATATTTATAGCTATTTCTCTATAGTAATAGCTTTATCTACTTTTTACTTTTATAGAAAGCTTTTGAAAAGTAATAAGATATATATATTATATTTAAGTATCTTTATATCTCTAGTATAAAGTATATAAAATATATAAATACTTTTTTATCTTTCTTTTAAAGTATATAAGATCTAGAAGTATTTAACTTTATAGCTTAATTTTAATTTCTAAAATCTTTAAAAGAGTTTATACTATTATATACTATAAATAAAGTATTTAGAAAATACCTCTATATTATAATTATACACTATATTACTTAACTGTATTATACTTATATTCCTACACTAGTATAGTTAATAAAGTAACTATACTATCTATATATATAATATCCTACTAGCCTATAACTTTGAAGATATAGTCTACTTTATTATATATTATAAGATTATATTATAATATAGATAATAAATAACTTTTAACACTATAAAGTCTAATTAAAGGCTTAGATATCTATTACTGTCTATTAAAACTTTTTCTTATTATCTTTATAAAAAATATTAATTAATATATATTAACTTATTTACTTATACTATACTATATATAGTTTTTTTAGAGTAAGTATAACTACTACTACTATAATTATAGTTTTAATTATTTTAAAGTGTATAAGAATGATAAAATTTATAGTAGTAGTAATATATTTATAGTACTATAAAAGAGCTTTAGAGTCTACTAGTATCGTTATCTACTATAGTGTTATTTATAAGCTATTATTACTTTATAATCTAAAATATCTATTATTCTTATATTCTTAGCTTACTTAGAACTTTATAGTTATTATTATTATTTATACTAGTGTCTATATAAGCTAATTTAAATATAAAAGTCTATAGTATAATTATAGAAAGTAATAAAGAAAACTTTCCTTTTATTTTATAAAGCTTATCTACTATAATTAAAATATATAGTATTTAATTATTATATTAATAGATATAGTCTATAGTATATAAATCTTTCTTAATAAGTAGTTTATCTAAATACTTTCTAGTAGTAATAAAATCTTTCTACTTTATGTACTATACTATAGTAAAAGCTTTAAGTACTACAAAACTACTAATTATAGTAGAGTAATAAAAGAAAAGATATATTTAAAAGATTTTAGTTTTTAAAGCTTTATATCTATAAAAACTAAAGTAACTTAAACTAGAATTTTTAGTGTTTAAAAACGCTAGAAAGCTTTTCTTTAAGTTTGGTTTTATTAAAGCTAGAAAGATATTTAATAATTAGAGATAATTAAGTATAACATAATTATTATACTACTTAAGAAAGATAGAATAAGATCTCTAGCTATATACCTAAGAGCTAAGCAATTACGTATCTATAATTACTTAATTATAACTACTCTCTAACTTTAATAGTTTCTTAAAATTTTACTTAGTAAGAAAATATAAGAGAAAAAGTAATATTGAATATAAAGTAAAAAACAAGTCTAGCTAATCTTAGCTATAACTTTTTAACTAGTGTATAAACCTATTTAGTAAAAGGTTATAAAATACTTAACTTTCTAATACTTATTTTAGTATAATTCTAGTTATCGTTATCTATCTAGAAAGATTAGAGAAATGTTTTAAAAGAAAACTCTTTTAATAGAAAAACACTAGAATTACATAAGCTTCTTTTAGTTTTATTAAGTATATATAATCTTTCTATAACTT